GGTGTGCATGCAGAGTTTGATTGCGTACTCTGCGTGTTGACCATAGTGGCTCATCCTGTTCTTCCTCCCTCAAAATAGATCCAACCCCTGTCCAACTTAACTTTTACCACTAACCTTGTATGCATTGAGTTTGGCAGCGGTCAATGAAGTTCGCTTTATTGTATTTCGTTGTACGATGATGATGGTGATTTGCATGTGGGCGGAATACTGCCAGGTGTTTTTATTACACACCTAGGTGTGTTGAACAGCAGACGGGGTAAACCCCATAGTCACGAGGACCTGTTATTCAGTGGTTGAAATCGGCAACCTAAGCCCCGGAACCTGGAGTGGCGAACCACTTAAGGCCCCGATAGGTTAGGCGTGGTATTGGACCGGACGACAGCAGAGCTGCCTACCACCAAAGTCGGGTGGCGGTGGCGGGGTTCGAACCTCGGATCATAAGTTCCAAAGCACGCCGGTGACAGCGACTAAACCCACTACACCACCACCACCTAGGTTGCCAGGTTGTTGAGCTAATGAGATAGTGTAATCTATCAAGATTAAGGCGTTCGACAATTTGGCCCTGAGCACAATCTTCTTGGCAAAGTGAGTTGTGCTTAGTGATCAGATCTTTGTTTCGTGCAACAGATTGTTTACCTAACCTGAATCTACTACAATCAATCAATAATGTTGAGGCAAAAAGTATTATTGTTTCTCGATCTACTACTCAAAACGACGAAGGGGTTGGAAGTGTTCTGTAGGCAATAGATAAACAGACTGCGATGAATGACACTAAGCAGCCTCATCCCAGTAGTGCGGGCACATATGCACCAACACCATTCGTGATTCCCCGCCCAACAAGTTTAGGAAGACATTCATATACACGTTCCAAATGTCGTTGCGATTGCAGAAACCGGAATTCCAGATTTGCAAACAGAAAAAATGCTCTACCCTGGCGGATAATTATACAATCTCGGACGTACTAGGAAAAAGGATCTTATGAATAATTCCTTATTAGAAATGTAGGGTTTGGGACAACGATGCGTACTTACAAATTGCCGTTTTTTGTCCGATTCCAACTTTGACATTTCACTTTTGCTCTCTTCTATTTTTCTTTGATCGTATTCGAAGTCCCTAACAGTGAACCTTATGTCTATCAGCCATTGTATTAAAAAGACCTACCTTCGTTCTCGACATCGATTCTTGAAATCCTCGACCATTTTCCGGAAAATAGTAACGGTCCACAGACCATGGTCTTGGTCTTCGAAGATTAACCTAAAGAGAGTAATGAGAAAACATGAACTTACTCCGAAGATTTTGGAACAACCATGTCAGTGAGAGTTTCGTAGCAAGAGAGCCACTCGTTGTAAGACGACCTACAGTAAAGCTCTATTGACAAAGGGACATACCTAGGTATTACCACCACCAATGTTGCCATGTATTCCGATCCAACTACGAACTGTTCTCCTTTCACTATGTCACCAAGATCGCGAGTAAGTAGACTCCCACTGGATATAAGAATAAAATAATGGTCCATCAACATACGTTTGTTTGCGTTCGAGGTTGAGTAAACAACCTTTCACGGCATTGTAAGCCGTAGACTTATTTTTCAAGTCAGAATCAATTTTTGAAAGTTGCTGAAGGGCCAATGATTAAAAGGCAAAATGTTTACCTCTGATATAATAGCGTATAAGGAGCTTAGTGTTTGTTTAACGGGATATTTCGCATAATCCCACTGGAATTTGATCAAAAAGTTTGCAGGGTTCACTGATAATATAATAAGAGAAAAGATGTACAAAGACTCACATCCATTAACAGTCAAATTGTCTTCTAGCTTATGTCGCTGTTCCTCTAGTACATCGCCCATATATTGAGCCACCTTCTTGGTAATGCTTTCGGGAAATATACCAAAAACACATATTTACCCCTCTGCATAAATATCTAATTTTCCTAGTTCATCCGACAAACCAACCAGAACATCCAAAGTTCCAACCTTTAAGATGGAAACAAAAATAACACGTCAAACCTTGAGGTCAGCTGGTATTTGGAACTTCCATTGCGACGATATGCCATTATATTTCGATAAAGTTGCATCTAAGCGTTCGAAAACCTGATCTGGGTTTCTTTCCCCTGGCAAAGAAATAATCCAGAACTCAGACATCCTCAAACTTCAAACCAAATATTCAGAAATCGATTAAAATTGC